AAGAAAAAGTTATTTGCCCCATTCTGACTCTATCTCCAATCCTGCTCCCAAGAATAAACCAAGAATAAACCACTTTTTAACAATTTTTCTTTTGGTAGCTGCCTCTACTATGTACATCCATCTCTAAATAATTTTTATATCTCATTTCTTGATTTGCCAATTAGATATACTGTACTGATTTCAATCATGTATCACAATTTTTGGGTTTATAAATTTTAGATGGTATTTATTGACTTCCATGATGAAATACGAGAATTTTTAGCTCTCTTCACTCTTCATTCTTCTACTGGCACTACATGTGTATATATTTCTTATCCTCTCATCCTCCCAAAAGAGTAATGATTTAACTGCTCCAGTATGGAGCATAGTTTCCATATGGATACTTAAGCCTGGCATAGTATCATTGTTGGAATGCCATCTTTGCCATCATCCTGATGCTTCCTTTCAACTTTTTCTTGTGTTAGATCTCATGATTCCTGTATGCCATGTTTTACTCTTGCCTTACTTCCTTATTTTGAAGGGAGTAAGTAGGATAAAATTGTATCTTAGTAACTTTCTAAGTAACAGGATGTGGGAAATAATCTTTCTGAGAACTTCACTGTTAGTGAAATGGATGTAGAATTCTCAATTTGAAATAAACTGTATTCAAATAAGGCATAATTCTTCTTTTCTAGCTCCAAAGCCATTATGATCTGTATAGAAGACTTTTTAAAAAAGATTTATTTATTTATTTGAGACAGAGAGAGAGAGTGGAGGGGATGGCAGGGAGAGAAAGAGACAGAATCCATAAGCAGACTCCCTGCTGAGCGTGGAGCTCTACCTAGAGCGGATCCCAGGACCCTGAGATCATGACCTGAAACGAAACCAAGAGTGAGACACTTAACTAACAGAGCCACCCAGGTGCCTGTGTAGAGATGACATTTTTATTTAAATTTCTGGAAGCTTGATTCTAGTATTCTGAAATTTTACAATAAAGTGTCTTTGGTTGGGTGTGTTTTATTCGTGGTAGGAACTCTTCGGGTTCTCTCAACCTAAAAATTTACATCCCTTTATTACGGAATAGTCTCATGAATTATCTCTATCATCCTTTCTTTTCCAGCACTTTCTCTATTCTACCTGTGCTTCTTTTATTCCAATGTTGAATTTTCCAAACTGGTCCTCTACTGGATCTCTCCTAGTTTTCATTTTTGCCTATCTGCTCTTTCTTTTAAGTTTTTCAAATTTATCTTCCAGTTCTACTAAGAAACTTCTACCATTTTAGTGGTGCCTGGGTGGCTCAGTTAGTTAAGCGACTGACTATTGATTTTGGCAGTTCATCTTCTAAGGGTCACAGGGTCAAGCCCCATGTTGAGCCCCACTTCGACCCCCATATGGGGCAGGCATGTATCTGCTTCTCTCCCTCTTTCACTCACCCTCTGCCCCTCCCCCTATTGCATATATGTGCTCTCTCTCTCTGAAATAAATAAATCTTAAAAAAAAAACCACCTCTGCTGTTTTAAATTCCTACACTCGTGTATGTGTGTGTGTGTGTGTGTGTGTATGTGTGTGTGTGTGCGTGCGCGCATATATTGTTCTGTTGCTTATGTTTAAAGCATCCTATTGTCTCCTGGATATCTTGAATGCAATAGCTTCTGTCATCCCCTGATGCTATTAATAATAGTCTTCAACCCTCAAATTGCTTTATGCTATTTTTGTAGTATTTGATCTCAAGTTAGATTTCTCAGATTTTCATAATGCTTGGTTGCCTGTTTAAGAATAGGGGGTGAAAAGGCTGCTTGTAGTGCATGCATGGGACCAGTGACCAAGGCTTCACTGTAGAGAGATCAAGCCAAAAATTGATTAGGGATCAGCATTTTAGTCTTTCCTCCAGGGCTAGATAAATTTCCCAGGTAAAAGTCTTCCAATTTGCTACTTGGGGGATAAAGACCTGGATGTACCCTTGAAGACTAGTAAGGAACATACTCTCTGTCTCTCTCTCCATCTCTCTCTCTCTCTCTCTCTCTCACACACACACACACACACACACACACACACACACACACTTTTCTTCTAGTTTCCATACTGAATCCTGTGCTCAATAGTACTTAGCATCTTTCAGTCAAAAACTCCTCTGCTTTACCCACCCCCAGAGGACACAATAACCGGATGCGCATTCCAGAGTTTTAATAGCCTCTTAAATGGCTTTCAACCAATTCTACTTGTTTTCCTATTCTTTCCTTTGCCTCTACAAAGGTACCAGCTATTGCTAATTCCTGAGCCTTTTAAGGTTCCTGCAGTGCAAACTGGATTGGTGTTTGATTTCCCATTGCTGCCAGAAGATAAAACTGCTGACTCAGTCATCACATTTATTCTGCAGCATCTGAAATAGTTCAATATGGATTCATAGTTAAACAGACAAACCATGGTCCCTTTATAATAGTCTTAGTCAGGTTTGGGATGGAGCCAAGTTAGATGTGTTTTTCAACCTGCTACCTTTCTGGAATCTGTTTTTTGTTTTTAACCTCCCCAAATGATTTAAGTCCACCTGTCATAACTGTGATTATTTTGGTGACTCTGGGTAAATTGTTTAAACATATATAACAGGGGACAAAATGCCTGCACTTCATATCATTTGAATATTGTGAAAAAGAGACAAAAAGATATATGCCCAGTCAAGAAGAAGGTGCTATATTAACCTAAGTTTTATTTATCTTCTTAGAGGAAGATACTATTTCACTGTTGGTAGAGGGAACTGTTTTCCATCTAAGATGATCACTGGATGGTGATCTCTCCTTGTCCCTCATTTACAAGTCAGCATTAGGATTAGTTATACAGTGCCCAGATTTATGCTTCCTCATGACAAGTGATCTTCAATTGACTAAGTGAAATATAATAAACCAATGACTTCAGTCTCCTTATGCTCTAATTAAAGCAACAACTTTATGCTGTTTGGATATGTGCTGTTCATGTGTGTGTGTGTAACTGTATGAATTTTTCATATAAATACTTTATATCTCCTTCTAGGCATCTGGATCATGATAACAGCAAGTCAGCAGGCCACACCATTCAGAAGAGAAAGGAAATTAATATTCCTGAGAAAAGAGGAAATTAGATACTACTTGAGAGGTGAGGCATTCTGCTCCTAATGAAAAACACCTTTTGATTTAACACACTATTCTCAGCTTTAAGTGTTTGGTAAATATTAAGCTTTTTTTTTTTTTTTTCACACTTTCAAAGGCTTACAGGCCCCCTGCAGTTCCAAAATGTTATAATATTACTACCATCAACTAGGATTTAGGAAACCTGGATTCTAGTCCTAGCTCTTTTCCAAACTGGGTATGTGATCTCAGGCATGATATTCAGGCCTGCTTGGGCTCTTTACTTATAAAATATAAAATTCTTATCATTCTTTCACCATTCATTTCCTATTGCTGGCACAGGAGCAAAAGTAAATAAATCAGAAGTAATTTATTATTCATTCAGACAAATTAATATATTTAAATGTTTAATATATTTTAAACATTTTTTGGTCTCAGTGCTACAACTACTTAACTCTGAATACCCATCAACTGCATGGAAATCGTACCTCTAAAAAGTATCGATTTTATCAAGAAATACAAGAATATTGTATATCTACTTTTCTTTCATCTCAAATTATCAGATAATGACTACTACCTAACAAGCCTTTTTTTTTAATCTTTGGATTGAAAATTTTAATGAAAAGACTTTTTCAGTGGGGTGTGAGGTACAGAATCTTGCTTTCTATTTTTTGATATTTCAAATGTTCAAGATCTCATCTGTATGATAAACTGATTATTATAAAATATTTCATATTTGTCATATTGGTCAGTCATAAAGTAGCCTTATTGTGCAACAGATTTTTCTACCTCTTGAAGGAATGTTTTAATAAATAAAATTGGCAATTAAAATGGTTTCAAGATAAAAATGTGAGAAGGGGTTTCATATCCTACTCAGAATTATCAAAATGTATTTAAGGGGTAGGATTTATGATCTACATGCTTTGATCTCCCCAGTCTTGGTACCAGTCCTAGCTTTTGTCACTATCTTGCTTTGTGGACTTTAGGCAAGCCATTTAATTAGGGGTCAGCCATCTCACTTCAAACCTGTTGTGAAGATAAAATGAAATCAACAAAAGTATTCTAAAAGGAAAAAAAGGAATATAAAAATAATGCTATTATGGCTAATTAGCTCAATTATTCAACGTGCTGGGGTTGAGAGGGCTCTTATTCCATTAATTTCTTTCTGATCCCCATCCTTTTACAGAACCAGAGGCCCAAGGCTATCCATGCATTAGTTCACATACTTCAGCATCACCGGAAATACCTCCTTATTTTTTTCAGGCCTTGCTTTAAACCAGACCATATATTGTCATACTGTAAGACTCACATACTCTTTTTATGTTCACTATCAAGCTTTTCTCTAATGAGGCTACAACAAGAACAGAAACCTATCTGGAGATAAGGATGCACGAGCAGATTTGGAACCACTGCTCTCTAATGGCTTTCTAAACCTACAGGTGGGAATTGCTTATACCCAGCAGTGACCACTGACATCCCGGATGAAGTCAGCCGGCCTCAAAAGCACAGAGCATGTCATGAACTCTCTGTGAGGAGTCATTACTTAGAAGTCTTTTCGCTAGAAAAGCGTCTGGAAATCAGCTGTTCGGGAAAAGAATGGGTAATCCCTAGTCACAAGCCTCTGTAGTGTTACTACTGTATCTTGCATAGGAAAATGACTAGGGGGTGGGGCCGGCTTTAATTCCAGTACTTGGCGTTGCCACACGGTGCCAGAACTGGTCTCTGGTAGGGAAGGCTGCGATGGCCTTGGCCCCCATCGAGTGGGCTTCTACCCAGGAAAGGGAGAAAAGAGTAGTGGTGTTTCTGCGATGTGACAAAACGGGCCAGCTTAAAGCCACGCACGTCTGCAGCATGCATCCCTCGAACAGTTTTTCCCAATCCCCTCCCTTAAAGACAGAGCGCGCGCCCGTGAGGGCCCATTACCATCCTGCAGGATGAGGGTGGGCTGTACCGCCTGCACTCGGAACTGCCTGGCCCTCCAGCCGGGGCTGGGTGCCCGCACCACCTCGCTGTCAGACAGCCAGGTCACGGTCTCAAAGTTGTCCCCGCGAGCCAGCGCCTCGGCCTCGGCATGATGCACGGCCACCCGGTCGAACTGGTAGAGGCCTCCGGAGTGGTCGAAGTGCACGTGGGTGGCCACGGCCAGCAGTGGCCGGCACGCCGCGTCCTCTTTGGCCCCGTGATCCTGCAAGAGCCCAGAGGAGTACAGGTACTCCGGGAGGCTGCGCAGCCCCAGGCCCGTATCGATCACCACATCTTGCTCGGAACCGCGCACCAGCCAGATATTGGCGCGGTTGCCCGACTCATAGAAGCGTTCCTGAATCCAGAAGATGCCGTCGCCCAGGGACTTGTGGGCGTACCACTCGAGCGCGGACATGCTGGGCAGGGGTGCGGTCGGGTGGAGCGGGTGTAGGTGTGTGTGCCTCTGGCAGGCTGTCCAGACGCTAGGCGCTGGGGCGGTGTGGAGCGGTCAGCCCGCAGCCAGCGAGGAGGCGCAGAACGAGGAGAGGGCGGGGGATCCGGGAGATGCGAGGGCGGGGGGAGAACTAGGAGGAAGGACGCGCCGAGACGCGGCCTGGAGAGTCCGCCCGCACCCTCCAGCCAGGTCCGCAGAGAGCAGAGGTTGCTCTGCCCGCACCGAGGCGCGGGAGTAGTCGCGGCTTCAACAGCTGCAGCACGAGAGAACGTTAACGCAGGGGCACTGCTGCAGACTGGAGACCCAGAAGGGGACACTTTATTCACCCCAGGGGTCTGACTGCAGAGGCGAGAAGCTAGGCGGGGGAGGTGCCAGGTCCTCCCACCTACCGCGCGCTGCGAAGCGCATTTCCAGCCGGCGCCGAAAGAGTCAGGCCAAGCCGGATGGACGAGTACGGCTCCTGCCAAGGGCTAAAAAGCTCTTGGCCCAGCAGGCGGGGCCTAGCTAGGGAGTGGGCGGGGCTTACTGGTTGCGATCGGAACCGGGCTCTGAGGCCGCGTGGAGGGCGGAGCGCGCTTCTCCAGAGGTGGAACCCGTATCCCAGCGCCCGCGCCTTCTGTCTGCACCCCTTCCTTGCCGGCCGGTACTTCGGCTGCACAGTTTTACCCAAGCCTCAAGACTTAGTGAGCAGGTAACAGAGGGAGTGATTGAGGGGTTGGGAGGAGATGGAGAGGGTAGAGAGAAGTTAAAGGGGCACATGGAGAAGGTGGGGGAAGTCAGGGTGGCGATTCACTAAAGCGCTTCTGGATTGAGGGGCGTGGGGAGATCGCTCTACCTTTCCTTCTCCTAATCCCTTCACAATCTTTGAAAACTGTCCTTTCCAGATTTTACCTAGTCTCCACTTCCTGGGACTGTTTGCAGTGAGTTAGAAGGGGATTTATGATGGTAGATTTTCAAATCTGGTGACTGTGATTGGCTCAAGCGCGAGTCATTGCCGCAGACTTGCTGCTTAAGGACCGACTATTCTCTATGTTTTCCTAACTCTTGGCACTCTCCCCTGCATCGCGGGGAGAGGATTTGTTAATAACGTTTTTCTGGTCTTCTGAAAAACGAAATTCTGTATTCCTTCCCCTACCCTCCGTTTTTTTTGTTTGTTTGTTTGTTTGTTTTTGGTTAGTTTGTTCGCTCTTGGAAGAGAGCAAAGAAACTTGATAGAAAGGCTCAAGTAAAGGTGGAGGCAGTCGCACCTTGTGAGAACGGAAAACGTGGATAGTGCCTGGGTGTGGCCCAGCCCGCCACAGAAATTACCCCTACTCTTAACACCAGGTCCCTGTCCCCACCTAACACTTCCCAGCAATTGAAACATCAAGTTAGGCTTCAAAAATTCCCTTGAGAACTTGACTAACCTCCTTACTCAGCCAGGAAAAATTATAAAGATACCCATGAGATAGCATTATAAAAAATAATTAAGAAAACCCTTTTTGTGGCAGCTACTAATAAGCCTTCATAGGAGAAATGTACTGTCTTCCCCTACACTCCTAAAGCCTTTGGTGAGGATGCAGCTTTTCTCAATATTTTCCTAATCTAGTTAGAATCTATCCAGTCACTCTGTTCAGGGCTATCCATACATACAAGGTCTTGAGCTAGATGATATGTGAGAATAGAACTGGATGGGGGGGGGGAGAAGTTGTAATCTGCATTTTCAAGAATTTGAGGGAAGATAATACCTATGCACAAATATTTGTATGCAAAGCAGTATAGGATATATACCACAGAGGAAGTAAAAACTAGGTGCTATATAAGGATACAAATGGAAATGATTGTTTAAGAGTGGTATTTGAGCAGGACTTATAAGACCAGTTTGTTAGGATGCCCTCCGCTGGGAAGTACAGAGCTTTCTGTAGTTGGGTATTTTTCCTCTAGGCAGAGGGGAACCACTGTAGGAGAAATGGAGGGATATCTTTACTAGGCGGTAAGTTCAGCAATAATTCACCCAGTGTTTATTGGACTTTTGCTAGGCTCTGATTAGTGATCGAGCATGAAAATGTGAGTAAGTCTTCAAGGAGGCCTTCATGATTACAGATCCTTCTGCTTGCATCACACTTTTCCCTGAATGTCTGTCCTTTCTTAGTTCTTAACATGGCCTTTCCATTTCCTGTGCTAGGCTGTGAGCTCTAGGAGAGCAGAAGCTTTGTTTTTGCTCACTGCTGTATGCCCAGTATGGAGAAGATCGTCTGACACAGAGGGTGCTTAATAAATACTTGATGAATGGGTAATTGAAGAGCTTACTGGAAAGACAGACAAGAACTGACAATTACAACATGATTTTTTTAAAAGGGTAATAAAAGCAGGTCTCTCCCTTCTCTGTCTCCTCCTCCGGAGGAGACAGAGAAGGGAGAGACCTACCTCCATGTTGGGTGGAGAAAAAGTATATTTGCACAGCATCTTAAATGATGTTGGGGCTTGCTCAGGTAGATGTAGGAGGAAGGCATTCCAGGCAGAAGGAATGCTACAAGCAAGAGCTGGTGTAGCAGAGTTGAGAGTGGCTAGAGTATGGTGTGCAGGGCGCAAGAGGCAGAAAGTTAGACTTAAAGCTTTGTTAGTTAAGGAGAGTGACACATCGAGGTTTATGTTCTAGAAAGATGACTTGAAAGTGGATTGAAAAGGGGTGTCTGGCCATGGGAATTTACTTGTTCTGTGTTAGAGATCCAGGTGAGAAATTGTAAAGGTCTGAACAAAAGCAGAGGTGAAGGAAGGTCAGCATGTAAGACCTTCCTAACATTCATCTATTAATGAGGGGATTGAGGGAGATGGGGAGGAGGTCAGTAGGACTATGGGATTCTGATTGGGACAATTTAGGTGTCACTCTCATCAGAAAAGATACTGTGACCTGGCTTTCAAGTCCTCCCCTAGCTTCCATGCCTGCTTACATCTTTTTTTTGTACATTTATTCACCTCGCCAGTATGTGCAAGGGACAGTGTGAAATGTGGAAGACAATGCATTTAGGCCAGAACATAACTCATAAAATGTTCGTACTATGAGGAATTTTAGAGATTAACTCAGGCTCTGCTGCAAGATTGTCTTTATAATTGATTAGAATGGGCTTTGCATTTCAACTCTTGGAGGCTTGAACTACACCCATCAAACTATCTCAGAACAGTTCTGAATTGGAATTTTCAGGAGTCATTCCAAAATGGAAGATAATGCTTCTTATTTTAAATTTTTTAAAAAAGATTTTATTTATTTATTTGACCCAAAGAGAGAGATCACAAGTAGGTAGAGAGACAGACAGAGAGAGAGGGGAGGCAGACTCCCTGCTGAGCAGAGAGCCCAGTGTTGGACTCAATCCCAGAACCCTGAGATCATGACCTGAGCCAAAGGTAGAGGCATAACCCACTGAGCCACCCAGGCGCCCTGATTTTACACTTTTAAATTCAGTCAATTTCGCCATTACTAAATCACTTCTTTGTAAAGATTAAAGATATCTGTGGGATTAAAAAAAATCTTCAGCTAACCTAGAAGTGTGTTTCAGATAGCATAATGTAGATGAACGGTCAATGGAAAGATACCTGAGGCTTTAACCCAGTTCTGTCTTTGTTAGGAATTAATTGCGTGTCTTTAGGCAGTCAGCTAGCCTCTCAGGGCTTCACTTTCCTCTTTTAGAAAATGCAAAGTTTAATCTGAATCAGTGGTTCTTAATTTGCTACACATTGTAATCTCTGGGAAGGCTTTAAAAAGTCCTAAGGCCTAAATCCCATCTCCAGAAATTGTGATTTTGTTGTTCTGGGGAGGAAGCCTGAGGTATGTTTTGTTTCGTTTTGTTTTTAAATTCTGATGATTCCAGTGTACATCCAGGTCTCCAACTTTAACGTTCTGGAAGTTTAAAAACACCACCAACAACAATGTCAATAACTGGCTGACTGATTTGGGTAGGTTTGCTCATGAAATCATATGACAGAAGGAAAGAAAGAAAGAAAGAAGGAGCTCAACATTAATTGTGGAACTGCTACTGTCTAGAGAGCACTGTGCTAGACAGTGAGGGGTATAAAATCTCTATTGTTACTATAGCCGAAGAAATAAACAAACAGAAAACATAAGTGAAACTCCTTCCCTTTGGAAAGGACCCATTTCCTAAAAAGGGCATTTCTTCCAGAATTAAAGAGCAGTGATGTGTAACACCTCAATTTTTATTTATTTTAACAGGAGGATCTCTCTTAAGAGCAAGGTGGGGTGAAATGACTGTTGTGGATTTTTGAGGGACTTAAACTGGATCTTAAGGTGAAAGGGGATCCATTGAGGCAGGAATAAAGAGGGAGTAGATTGCAGTGGAGAGAATGGTCAACAAGATATGATGATAGAAGGAGTCAGGAGAATGGTGCAGGCATCTTAAAAGGACCCTTATTACTTGGGTCGAGTAATTATTACTTGAACTCAATTCCATAGCCAAGAAGGAAATGAGAAGAGTAGGATAATCAGAACTATGCCTCAGGATGAATAATGTAGAAGGATAAATTCAAATAAATGGTAAAAACAAGGGATATGACAAAACTTGCAGTCAGTCAAAAGTGAGGTAAAAAGGGGCTACATGGGATTATGGTAGAGGAAATGAAAAGGAAGGGATGCTTTGAAGGAAGAATTAGCTGATTGATTTGATGGGGGGGGTGAAAAAGAGTGAGAAATCAATACCGATGCCCTCCACATCATCAAATGTTGGTGACTGGGAAAATAACATACCATGGACAGAAATAGGGTTGTAATACCTGAAAGGAAAGCTAGTTGGTGTAGAGGGAAGACGATCTCAGTATTTTAAGTTTAAAGTGCTTTCCAGATATTCTTTTGATAATGGGAACATGGGCTGAAACTCAAGACAAAGGTCAGTGCTGGAGATAATAGTGTGACTAGTCATCACACCCTGAATGTGGATGTGTTTTCTGAAGACCAAGACCAAAAAGAGCAGAAGGCCAAAGATTGTACCTTAAGGAAACTATATTTAGGACTTTAAGAATAGAAGTAGAAAAAGAAAAGAAAAGTCAGTGAGGTAGAAAGACCTGGAGGGGTTGTTGTTGTTGAGGTTTGTTTGTTTAAGTAAGCTCCACACCCATGGAGGAACCCATCACTGGGCTTGAACTCATGACCCTGAAATCAAGAACTGGGCTGAGATCAAGAGTCAAACACTTACCTGACTGAGCCACCCAGGCACCCTAAAACCTGGAGTTTTAATAAAGCCTAGGAAAGAGAATTCCAAAAGGGAGGAGGCAACAGTGAGCTATGTGCTTTGGAAGTCCAGGAGCATGACAAAAGGACAGTGGATTTTACCACTGGGGATCATTGGGGCCTTTGCATTTCAGCATCTTTGTGAGTGTAGTGTTCATCACAAGTGAGGTAAAAGTCAAACCCCTTACCA